CCCTTCCCCTACCCACACCCCCTCCCCTACACACTTTGATGCATTTTTCAAATTTCACCTTGGGGCGGAGTTATCTTTTCACAGGGGGTAAGATACTCTTAAAGGTGGCTGCCACGTGATGACAGTCATTCACAACACATCCTCTGAGAGTGACATTTCATTTTATCACATGATCACTGCTGTTTCATTGCTCAAAATAAGATGATCTGAGTTTAAAAGTCTGGCGTTAAAGGCAGCACATGAATTTCTTCATAGAGGACTATTTTTTATCACGACACACACTTTAGCCGACATTTAAAAAGAACAAACTGTAAAGCATTTAAAAACCAATAAACTCATGATTCGAGGGGTAAACGAGTTTCTATTCCATCATGAGGAAAATACTCATCATAACCAAATCATTTCTTGATTTATGAGTCACATCTTAATGAGGTCACTTAAACATGGCAGCACTCACTAATGTTTTGCTTTTTATTTTTTATTTTTGCCTCGTGCAGTCGGGACAGTTCAGTGAAGACATGATTCCCACAGTCGGCTTCAACATGCGGAAGGTCACTAAAGGCAACGTAACAATAAAGGTAAGCTGATAACAAAAGTTGCTTTTCCAACGTAACGACCTGTTTTCCAAAAAAAAAAAATCTATCTCTGACTCTGACCGGCTTTGACGTGCTTTCTTTTAACTTATTTTATTTTGTGCAGATATGGGACATAGGAGGACAGCCTCGCTTCAGAAGCATGTGGGAGCGTTACTGTAGAGGAGTCAATGCTATTGTGTAAGTTTGTTCACCTTTTTATTTTTGTCCCAAAAATAGAGCAATAAAATTAGATTCTTTTTATTTCCTGATGAGTTTACGTTTGGCTGACCCTGACCAGATTCATTCACTCTCCTCTTAATGAATCTCTTGCAGTTACATGGTGGACGCAGCGGACCGGGAGAAAATAGAAGCTTCGAAAATCGAACTGCACAATCTTTTAGACAAACCACAGCTACAAGGAATTCCTGTAAGAGACTCTTTGTGGTCTTTGAGCAGAAAAAAACAACAAAACTTTGAGCTTCTCTGCTCTGATCTTGACATAATATTTGAGGATCATGTGATTTATTTCAGAGCTGTTAATGACTGCAGCACTGTGATTCAGGGTTCATGATGTTTCACTCTGTTTTTAATTTGAGCAATTAGATTTTCGATTTATTACATTTAGATTATTAATAAAGAGTCTGTGATTTATCACCACCCTCAGTCTGGTGATCTTGTTCTGATTAGTAGGAATCAGATGTGATAAAACTGATGCTCTTCTGCAACAGTCCATCACTAAATGTCGTTTCCTTTTAGGTTCTTGTTCTTGGAAACAAACGGGATTTATCCAACGCACTTGATGAGAAGCAACTTATTGAAAAAATGTAAGACATGTTTGTTTTTATTTTGTGTTTGTGTGTCTCAAACCTTTTTTTGTTTTGTTTAAAGGAGAGGCAGCCTTTGTGTCCATAATGGAACACCGTTTGTGTCTGAGGCTACGTTTACACTGCAGCTCTTAACGCTCAGTAGGGATGTAAGAAAATATAGATACACAGAAATATCTCGATATTTCATTTCCAGATACTGTATCGATATTCTAAAGCCCTGTATCGATTTTTAATCAATGTTTAAAATGTCAACCTTCTTGCCAACCGTTCATTTTTATGTTGTAGTTCAGCCTCTGACCACTAGTTGGCAGCAGTGAGCCAGCCATTTGGCTCCTCTACCTCTTGAGCACCAGAGAGTAAGGGTAGCATTAGCATTGTAAGTAAACATTAGTTTTTCTTTTTTTTTTCAGTAAGAGGTTTTTATTTAATAGAATTTTTGGACAAAAAAATCGCAATATATTGCCTTGCTTACAGTATCGCAATATATCGGGATATATCGTATCGTGACCCCTCTGTCATGATATGTATCGTATCGCCAAATTCTTGCCAATACACAGCCCTAACGCTCAGTTCCCATTTTTTGCTCCGATTAGATTTATTTACATTTTTTTGCATCATCGTTCACATTATAATCAAAAAAGASCTATGACTAAAGGATATGTAAAAGGTTTGTTTTTGCTATAATGCTGCTACACAAATRGACTCGTAGAGGTGATTCATAGATCTGCTGAGTGATGTCAGACCCGATCTATTTATTATATGTCTGTACCATAGTGAGCTCAACCAGAGAAGAAGAAAAAGTTATTTATATTTTTCCTCAAGACTGTATAATAATTTAATTTTATTATTAATTTTAATTAATTTTTAACATGCATAGATAATGTGACTTCACACAGCACACTGTTTACCAAAGTAAATATGAATGCTTCATGTTAGTGTGTATTAAATCTTTAAAGTGTCTGTGACATGCCTACCCATCAAATACAAAAAGTCAAAGAAAACACATTTTTATAAGAAACCTTGCATAAAACATGTGATTTTACCCATTTTGTCTCATAACTGGCATATCTGCTTTTGAACTTGGCTCAGCCAAAGTGAAACAGGAAGTGACAYCAAAGGGGAACTCTTTAAGGAAGAGAACTCTGTAATCTTTGTTTATTGAAACAATATTATTTGAACTCTGACTGGTCTTCATCTCTCTCTGCTAGTGACTCAAAATCTAAAGAAACATCAGATTCTTCTCCACAATCTGTGTCGTTAGCTATTTCATTAATGCTTTGTTCCATGCAGACATTCCCTTTTGACATCACTTCCTGTTCCTTCACATGCAAATATCTCAACAACTGTTCATCTCAGCAGCGGGAAATTATTTTTGCAGTATGCTAATAATGTTGTCTTTCCAATAATGCCTTTATATTTATTTAAAAAAAGTTCATGTCACTGGCACTTTAAGCTGTTTCCCAATATGGATGACTAAATTATTGTCAGTCATGTTTRTTTCATCCAGTATTTACATTTGATCTGGCTACTTCCTGCCTGCTCAGGTGATCAGGTGAACTGCTCTTCTATAACAAGAGTGAAAGTTGAGGCAGAAACAAACTCCAGTATTAATCTCATCATGCTAATATCAACATGATCCAATAAGTTGGTATACCACTGCTTATGTCATAAGTCGGTGTAGATTCTCAGTCCAGGACCTGATAAATCTACAAAATTTAAAAAAGACAAAGTAACTGGACTTCTGTTCTGTAGCTGAAGATGTGTGGAGTTCAGAGCTTTAAACTGCACAACGTTGGGATCGAAAAAAACATATTCGTTAATTTATAATACAATCTTGAGTATAACACGCCCCTCATTTTTTGAGCTTTAAAAAAGCCTAAAAAAACTTTGAAGTGCGCCCTCTGGTGGGGAAACAATGTTTGGGGACGCACACTGGAGGATGAGCAGCACAAGCTTCCGGTTCTGTGTGTCACGGAAAAAACAGTCCTCTCCCAGAGCAGAGCAGAAGCCGGTTGTTAAATCAGCAAGATGGATTTTTTAGAACATGCAACTAATATCCAAGTCTTCTTTTCATCGCTGTGGCTAACAAGTAAAATAATTATTTTTCCTCCAGTGAATAAACAACCACTGTTTATTGATGTAGGAGAGGGAGGGAAATAACTTTGAGCCTCGATCAGAAAAAAAGACGAGTGTTTTATATTTCTGGTCCGAGAGGAGGAAAGACATGGTGGACTGAGGTCGACTGAGGTACTTTTGTTTTTTGCCACGACGTGTTTCCTCCTCGCGATGCGGCGCGCATCAAATCAGACTTCTTTTAAAAAAAAATGTGGCATATACTTTTTATCATATCTTCGCATCTACTTGGCCTAACAACACAATTTAAAAACTGGTTTAAAGTTTGAAGTGTCTGCTTTTCACTCAAGTCTCAGACAGGGCGGATCTACAGGTAGTTCTTTTTCTTCCTAAAGTTTATTTAGGTCAGCCAGCGTTGACAACGCTCTGCGGGTGACGTAAATGGCTCCGTGACACGGTGAGGGATGCATAAATCATGGGACACAACAAATCGATAATGAAACTCATTGCCAACGCTTTTAATAATCGATTTTTATCGATTTTATCGATTCGTTGTTGCAGCCCTAATACGCAATATCTGCAAGGCAGAACTTGCCTTCCACAGCAATTATTATTAGTTAGCATATAGCTAAAATCTAACGATGGTTATACAATAACAGCTGCATTCTGGTGCGATAAGCTGTATGTTTTATATTCAATTAACGTATGATCCGATTAGTCGACTAATCGAAAAAAATAATCGGTGATTAATCTACTATAAAAATAATCGTTTGTGGCAGCCCTAATGAGAAGATATTGAGACTTATTGTAGTTGTACATAAAACAAAGTCACAATTTACTCCCTTGTATAACTCGACCCCCCCTACTTTATTGATGATTTTTGGGATTCAGTTAGTCATATTATTCATGCATAAATACGGTAATATCTGCGTCAATGAATATACCCCTGCMTAAATGATGCATTTGCTTTGAAAAAACATTTGATACCAACCCTGAAAATTTTGGTCACTTTTGCCTGCAGTGTGAACAAAACCTGTTTGATGTAATGTGTGTTTACTGACTTGTTTCTGCTCTTTTTTTCTTTCCTCTTTTACCTTCTCTGCCTTCTGTAGGAACCTGTCTGCCATTCAGGACAGAGAGATCTGCTGCTACTCTGTTTCCTGCAAGGAGAAAGACAACATTGGTAAATATCAGAGACCAGATTATCTTTAGTTTTGTTGAATTCTCTCTAAACAACATAATTACTC